GATTATGTCTCATGACTATGTGTGATTTCGGTGGCAAGAGTGAATAAGAGGAAATCAGTAAGCAGTACTCCAGGCAAGAAATGACAAGGATGTTGAATAAAGACCATGGCCCTAAAGATTTGTGAAAGTAGGCAGATTCAGAATATTTTTATGTATGCTCTTCCTCGGTCTCCCTTATCTCATAAATTTAATCAACGCTCATCAAGCTACTCCAGTCAAAGATCTCAGGTTTATACTGAATTCCTTTCTTTTTCTCACCCTCCACATCCAGTCTTGTCAGCTTTACCCTGGGGCATCCCAAATCAACCTCCTGTCAGGTTCTCCAGTCTACTACCACTACCTTGACTAAGCCAAAACCTGTCACTGAGACATGATAGCATGTCTCCTAAACAGTTTCTCTGCATCCACTTTTGTCACTTGAGACTTTTTCTCATCAGCCATCTGGGGTGATCTTCAGGAAGTTTAATTTGGGCCCTCCCTGGTGGCACAAGGGGTTAAAGCGCAATGTTGTGAAGCTATCCACGGACATGAGCTCAATCCCTGGCCAGGGAGCTGACCCACATGGTCAGAGATCTTCTGTTGCACCCACTGTTCCCCTCAGCAGTACATTTCAGTCATTCTGCCTGTTTTGTTTCCCATCCATCTCTGGTGAATCCACACCTTTGACCTGTACCCCAGTTCTTGTATACATAAATAAATAAAATTTTTAAAAATGTTTAATTTAATGTTATTCTGCTATTTAAACAGCTCCAGTTACTTCCCATCATACCTGGAGTGAAATTCAAACTCGTTATGATGGTCTTCTGGCTATTATGTAACCAGCCCTTAAACACTTCTCCAACCTGATTTTCCATGCTGAGTTTTTTCCCCCGCTTCTAAGTCTTTGAACTGCCTAGATTGTTCTATCTTCATGACACTGTCTCCTTCATGTTATTCAGGTTTTTATGAAAAAGAGGTCTTGAATAACCTGCAATAATTTTTTCTCTTTGTATCTGTATATCCTTTTTAAAATCTGTTCACCTTTTAAGAAAAGCAGTTCTTTGAACACAAGAATGTTGATACTGCCATAACCCTAGTGTTTATCATAAACTTAATACATAAAAATGAACATATAATTGAAATTTTAGACAATATTGTAACTGTAAAAACCTTAATAGTGGTTTTGGCACATAGAGTCCAAGAAGAAAAGTTGCTATCATTTTTGTCTCCTGTCTATATTCTAAGTACCTACCTTCCCCCAAATCTGATCTAATTATTCTCTTTCTTTGTTAGAGAATTACTATTGCCACTGAATAAAATGGGTAGACTTGCTAAGGAATGAGGCAGTTTCTTTTGGACAAAAAAAAAAAAAAAAAGGAAAATGAATGTGGGAAAAGTCTGCAGATCTTCACAAGAAGTGTGGTGGACATGCTTAAGGTACCTCTCCCTGAGTTCCATCCAAGGGTGTCCACACTTTGTAATTGTCTTCCTTTGAGTATGAACAAAACTGACTTTCCCCTAGTCAGTGGAATATGGCAACAGTGATGTTATGACACACCTGTGATTTTATTATAAAGACTTTGTATTTGTAGAGTGGAATTAGAGAATTTCATTCTTTTATTGGCTTTAAGGAAGTAAGCTGACATGTTGGGGGTTGCCTCTGGACAGGGCCACCTGGCAATGAACTGTGGAGATCTCAAGGAACTAAGAGGTATCCCCAGGCAATAGCCAGCAAGCAAACTGGACTTCAGCCTTGCAACCAGTAGGAGAAGAATTCTGCCAAATAGCTGAGTGTGGGTCTTTCCACACTCAAGTCTGTGATAAGACTGCAGCCCACCCTGACACTCCAATTTCAGTCCAGTGAGAAACTGAGGTAGACAACCCAGCTATATTATACCTACATTTCTGACCTACAGAAGTTGGGAAGCAACAAATGTGTGCTGTTTTATGTCAGTGAGTTTGTTGTAATTCATAACACAGCAGTAGATGACTAATATAAAAACCACAAGAAACTATAAAGCAAAATTTGGTTAAATATGAACAGGATATGTCACTCAGTAGCGTTATCTAAAATAGAAATGAGTTTGAGTTAAAAATACTAAATTCCTATTTGCAGAAATGGAGTAAGTGGTTAAAATATTAAGTAGGAGGGTCCTCCCTGGTGGCGCACTGGGTTAGGAAGCAGCACTGCAAGCTACCCTTCGCCGCTTCAGTGTGAGTTCAATCCCCAGCCCTGAGGTGGCCCACATGGCATGGCACACCTCTCCTGACCTGCCCGCTGCTCCCCTCAGCAGAGTACTTGTCCACCTGCCTGTTCTGCTCTCCACTCTGTCTTTGGTGAATCCTCTCACTGCCCCTATGCCTCTGGCTTGTACCCCAGTAAAAAAAAAAATTATTTGTATATCCATACAGAACTGGGTACAGGCCAGAGGCAGAGGGGCGGGCAGTAAGAGGACTCACCAGAGACAGAGTGGGGAGCAAAACAGACTGACTGAAGAAGTATGAAGTATACTGCTGAGGGGAGCAGAGGGCGGGTCAGGAGAGGTCTGCTGCACCATGTGGGTCACCTCCCGGTTGAGGATCAAACTCATGCTGAAGTGGCTTTAGCTTCTTAGTGCTATGCTAAACCCACTGTGCCACCAGGGAGGGCCCACAAATAAATTTTTTAAAAATATATTAAGTAGGAAATTGAACTGGTTATCTTCATAAGGTTGCTTCCATTATTAAAAAATGTTATTATTTTAAATTCTTATCATTGCCATTGACTTGGTAAAATAAATGTGTAAACACAAAAAAATCCCTGCTTACAGACATGAAGCTGCTGTCAAAAATTTGCATTCTCATCTGAAAAAGAACCTCTGACAGGACCACTTAAATTTCAAAATCCAAAACAAAGATACAAAACTAAACTCTTCACAAATTACCTTTTTAAAGCACAACATAATCATATTTTAGTTGAAAAGCCAAAAATATTCATATCATTCCATATATTTATTTATTCTAAGAAATATAAAAAACATTAACCCATGTAAACTGATGTCATAGTAGTTGGCTTATTAGAAAATTACCAATGGGAAACAAGGGTAATTTTTTAGAGGAAATATCTGAGTCACCTTTTTGATAAAGGACTTGTATCCAGAATAAACAACTCTTACAATTCAATAAATATGACACAAACAACCCAGTTAAAATGTGGGCAGTGTTGGGCTCTCCCTGGTGGTGCAGCAGGTTAAAGCACAGCACGAAGAAGCTAAAGCCACTTCCGCAAGAGTTTGATCCCTGCCCGTCCCGGAGGTGACCACATGTCACCGCAGACCTCTCCTGACCCACCGGCTGTTCCCCTCAGCGGTGTACTTCTCAGTCAACCTGTTCTGCTCCCCGCTCTGTCTCTGGTGAATCCTATCACCCTCCGCATCTCTGGCCTGTACCCCAGTTCTATATGAATAAATAAATATTTTTTAAAAAATGTGGGCAGTGTCTGAAAAGACATTTTACTAAATAAGATATTCAAATATCTAATGAGTTTATAGAAATGTACTAACCATTATTTGTCGTTAGTGAGACAAACTAAAGCCAAAATGAGATCACACTTCATGCCTACTAGATGATTACAGTAAAAGGAGACATGAACAAGAGCTGCTGATAACTTTGTGATGTTTTTAGCAAATTTACAGAATTGATAGAATTTATAGAATGGGTGCAGCCATTTTGGAAAAACTGTTTCTTTAAAAAATAAACATACATTTACCATTCAAACCAGCAATTCCACTCCTAGGTATCTACCCAACAAAACTAAAAACATATGCCCAGCAAAATCAGTGTATGTGAAAGTGCATAACAGACAGAAAGTTGAAACCCAAATATCCATCAAGTGATGAATGGCTAAAGAAAATGTGATATAGTGATACAATGGAATACTATTTGGCAATACAAAAGGAATAAATCACCTGTATTGCTATGATGTAGATGAACCTCAAAGATATTACACTAAATGAGAAAAGCCTGATGTAGAAGACCCATATGATATGATTCCCTTTGTTTGAAATGACCAGAAATGCAACTATATAGAGAGAGGAAGTAGGAAAAGGGTATAGGGATGGGAAGGACTGAATGTGGCACAGGGGTATTTTTGGGTGACAGAAATCTTCTAAAATTGTATTGTGATAGCTGCACAATTCTGTAAATTTGCCAAAAACATATTGTACACCTTGAATGTTAGCTAAATTATATATCGACAAAACTATTTTAAAAATATCTCTATTTAAATACTATCCACCAGTCAGTGACCTCATTTGAAACTAGAGTACACAAGGGCTCAGGGGCAGAGCCTGCAGGTGGAGTTTCCACTGGGGTACAATGGCAAGCCTCGGGACCAGCCCATCACATCAGCAGGAAGTGAGAAGATGGCTAATGTTTGCCCCTACAGAAGGCATTTTAGACAAATTCATCAGGTACCTAAATTAATGGAGACTATGAAAATGCATATCAAGAACAAATTTTTCAATTCCCTGGTATACTTTAGAAACACTCATTTGAATACAGGGATCTGTGAGTATAAGATCATTCTTATTCACAAAGTAGGTTCTTTCACATCCCTGAATCATAATCTTTTGATAGCACCATTTGAGTTTGAGTATAGATATTTGACCATTTGAGATTTGCATTTCAATATTTAAAATAGTACCTAACTCAGAATCTAAATCAGTCATGTCTTCCCACTGCCTGTGAGTTTATTTAAATGAGAACCATTCATTGCACTTTCTGAAATTATTAATCTACTTATTATACCTTATAAGAAATTATTAATCAATTTATACCTTGTATCTTAACCAACTAATTATTAATCTACTTATATTAACCAACAGTACTTACTAATACTACTTACTATCAACCAACAATATGCATACATATAACATGCACTTACATATTTTAAGGAGTGGAAACTATAGAAGTAACCAAATATGCAGATTAAACTTTGGTGACTGGGAGTCATTCTTGTCCCTCACATTGCAAACACATACCTGGAATGCGATGGTCCTCTTTCCTGGGAAGTTTGAGAGGACAGGCTTCCATCAAAGGAGTTTCCACGGTGGCAGCCTGAAATAGTAGGCTTTGGGGAGATGGAATCTGATTGGAATGTTTCACAGACGACCTGAAGTCCCTTTTGGAAGTAGAGATAGGAGATTAGTTCTTTTTTCTTCAGGTATAGTCTCAAGAATTAGCTATCATATTATATCCATTGTTTTACAAATTTTTTAAAAATGTATGCAGCATAATAAATATATTGTCATAGACCAAGGGATTCTGCCTTCCACTAAGAGGGAATGGAAACTGATCTTTGGAGAACATCTGTGTCATTCAAGACTTATGCAAAAAAATTAATGCTAAATACTTTAATGTACTTTATTTCATTTGTCATTGATTCTTTCCTTTTTCACCTCTATATTCAGAACTTGTGGGAGAATTACCAACCAACAATTCAAATATATGCCAATACTGAGGTGACCTGAATAGAGACATGAAGATCAACATAATCGCCAGCGTACTAAGAACTAATTAAATGGAAGCCAGAATGTGAGGATAGAAATGCGAAGCTCAGATTTTTCCATTACTCATCGGAGGAGGGGTAGAATGCATTTTTTTTTTTTTTTCAATTGAAAACAGCGACCTTTACTCTGATTTATAAATACAAATCCAGCTGTTCTTTCACTGAGTAACTTATTTTAATTATACTTAACTTACAAATGTAATTCCGCCCATGTAACATGAACTATCTTTCAATAGATATCACAGAAAAAATTCTTCACAAACACAAAAAAGCTCTCAAAAATCTATCATAGTATTTTAGGCATTACAATTTCCATCCTCAAAAGCAAAATAAGACACTACTATTCAACCATAAGGCATAGAGAGAAATTTGTGAAAAATTAATCTTCTGAACTTGAACAAAGGATCCCTTAGCATGAGCCTATTTGTAAATAAAAAAAAAAAAATGAACTCGATCATCTTAAAGTCAAGACCTTACAGGTAAGTTTCAAGACATAGAATATGGGTTAGAGAAGCACAAACAACAGAAATATAATGCAAGTTAAAAACACAACAGGAAATAGGTAAAATTAGTTTTTAAAGTATTTTATGTTTAACTGAAAATTATGTCATCATGTATCAAAATAAAAATTATTAAGGCATATGATTTTTTCTCATACTAAGTTTTCAAAATTCAATTTTGAAAGTTTCAATGTACTTTTTCAAAAAAATAATTTTTTTAATTGAGGTAAAATTAGGATCCCTCCTTCCCATCAGGTATCACCACCACAATGCACCCACCCCTAAATCACCCACAGTCTACCGCCACGCTCCACGGTGCTTCCGTCCTTCTTTGTTCTTGCCCCCTCTCCCCACCTCTCCCCTCTGTATGGTTCAGTTCAATGGTTCAGCTTTCAGGGGTTAGTTTTATACTTAAACTAATCACATATCAAGTACTCAGTGGCCAGTAGACCTAGCAAAGCACCATACTGGATGGTGCAGGTACAACACCATTAGACAAATGTTTATGAGGAATCAAGATTAATTGGTCTTTAAGAGAAAAATAACCTTGGGCAACACTGAAAAAGTATTCCAGTGAGAAGAAATACTACGAGCAAGGACGTAAAGGTTAAACAGTGTGCTCTGTTTGGAAACAGCACATAACTAACTAGGGGCCACCAGAGTCACTTAAAGAGGGGGGTGGCAGGTGATGGAGGCGTGGAGAACGGGGGGAGGAGTCTGGTCTCAAGGAGATGATCTTCACAGAGCATGTGAGATTTCTAAACAGGAAGGCATAGGCTGAGAGGATGGCACCTGGTGTGTAGTAAGTTCTGGGGAATGATAAGGTAATAAATAAATGGTGCCCTGGGAAGATTAGTCAGGCATCATTAAGTAGTATTTATGTGAAGCAGGAGAGGCTAGAGGCAGAAAATTTAATTAGGTGATTCAAGCTGCAATCTAGTTTCGAGGGCCTGGATTGAAAGGATATAGTGAGCACAGCAAATAAAGAACACAGGAGAACAGCGTGATGAAAACAACATGACTCAGCAATAAATCCAACAAAATGAAGGGGAATGAATAGGAGGTGGGGATTCTCCTGTACCTAAGTTGTCCCAACATTGTGCACATACACCACTACAAATACTGGTATTACTAAGCAACACTGTTGGAACAATAAAAAAAAAAAAAATTCTGTTAGCTAGATGAGGGCATTTCTTATTATGGAACACATTATGTTTTATATTTATTAAAAGGCACATTTTAGGCTTATTTAGGCATAGCTTCAGCCGCATATAAATAATTATATATCTCTACTGTTTGTATGTAAAAAGGAAAATATAACTGAAAATAAACTGGTATAGGTGTCCTTAAAACTTCTTCAAACTTAGAAATTTCAACTCAAGAGTTGGTAGATGATTTCCATCGGGACAACTTCCTTTATGCCAAGAGTGTTAGTTCTTCAAAGAACTTTATTCCCTCACATACTCTCCTCAGCCCTTGGTTCTGTAACAGGGTGGTCCCCAGGAAAAGGGGAGGTTCCAGGTTCCCATCTCCACCCGAAGGAGGATGAACCTTAGCAGGGAGGAGAAGAACCTAGAAGGGAGATTGAAGAAGAAGGAGGCAGGTTGGAGAACCAGAAGGAGACAGGAGGGAGCCACAGGGGGCAGCCACCTGTGAAGAAGTGGCTCTTGTTTCTTGGCCCTGGACTGGGTGAAACAGATGTGGGTGAGAGACCCAGGGGGTATTTCACTGGGGCAGCATTTATCCTGATTTTCATTTTGCTCTTTTCCTCCCAGACCTATCTGGACATTTCTGATGCTTTTCTATGGGTCCTCACCAGAAGGTGCTTTAGACTTGTATCTGGCTTTCAGACCTTGTGTTGGGCCTATCCCTTTGGGTGAACTTTTACTCACAAGGGAATGGATATCTTTGTGTGGTTGATTTAGAAACTATATTCTTTGTCTTTTCTGTATTGCACATTAATTGTAATAAAGTTCCTTTCCATTAAAGATCTTATATGTTTTGTGTTGATGTGGCAGATGGTAGAACCAATTTAAAGCAGACAGATTTGGGGGTTCTGAGGTGCCTCCTCCCTGCCCTGTAACAGTTCTTCAAACTTAGATGATAGACATGACCAAATGCATGTGGCATAAGTATGAAAACCACATCAAGCCTACCACAGGCAGGGAGACCGTGGCTAGTGTACAATAAGTAGCTCTTTAAGTGGTAAGAGGCCAAAGATCATCAATGACATTTAAAGCTGTTTTCTATTGCATTAAATTTACTTACTTATTTGCTTCAAAAATAGTAGCAATGGTTTGCAACACTGCACAAGATTTTGAGGTATAACATCATATACTTCAGGTGTATGTCACTACACGACACGCACCAGCAAGACACTGCCAGTCCTCCACCACAGTCTCCACCACAATCCTCCATCACAGTCCTCAGCCTCAGTCCTCCAATACAGTCCTCCATCACAGTCCTTCACCAGTCTCCATTACAGTCCTCCATCACAGTCCTTCATCACAATCCTCCATCACAATCCTCCACCCCAGTCCTCCACCACAGTCCATTGTGCTCCCTCCCCATGTTGCTTTGGAGCCCTGTGCTGCCCCCTCTGGTAGATGTCTACAGTCAGGTTTCTAGGGTTTGTTTTTTTCAAGATTTAATGTTTATTTTTGTGTAGAAAAACTGGGATGTAGGCTAGAGGTGCAAGGGGTGAGAGAATTCACCAGAGACAGAGTGGGGAGTAGAATAGGGGAAGTGATTGATATACCCTGCTGAGGGGAGCTGCAGGAGACAGGAGAGTTCTCCTGTGCCATGTGGGTTCATAGCCTGGCTAGTGAGTGAGCTCAGGCTGGAGTGGTGATAACTTGCAGTGCTGAGACTTAAGCTCTAGGCCTCCAGGGAGAACCTGCTATTGGCTTGGTTTTATCTGACTCTTTGTTTTGTTTCTTTGTATTTACATGTAAGTGGCACCATCTGGTATTTGTCTTTCTCCTTGGGCCTTATCTCACTTAGCATAACCTCCTCCAGTTCCATTCCTGTCCTTGTAAATGGCAAGACTTTAATCTTTGGAAGTAAAATTAGCTTATAATGTACACAAACTTAGCAATTTATTCAATAAATAATAATTACATTAGGACCCCCAAATTTCCAGGTTTCAGGGTAAAAAAATGTGTTAATATTTTTGGCAATAGTACATCAGTTTGAAAGACGATCCAATTTTAACAAAATGACACCAACTATATTTTGTGCACATTGAACTGAAAGTGAAGGTACATCATAACAATGTTTGAACAGCAGGATATACCACTATGAATTAACCTGGGTTTCATTTCTTTCTTTTTCAGAACCTAGTAGTACATGACAAAATTGCACCGAATGATGCTATTTTATTCTTCTTCTTCTGTTTTATAGGGACTTTTCTTGATTATCATAGAAGTGTAGTTACCTTAAGAGGTAGGACTGTAACTTAGACATTTTTTCTACTGACTACCCTACAGCAACAGCAATATCCTTACTGGTACTAAAGTGACTTAGAAATATTAGGGGATTCAATAATTGACTGAGAACAAAGTGATACTTTAGTTTATGAGGGACTGTTACAGGGCAACCCCAATGTGACGTGAAGCGGCCTAACCGTGGGTCCTCACCAGTGCACTAAAAGGGACTTATAATGAAACTCAACAGCAGGCAGACACAAAAAATGTTACTAAAGGGCTTATTTACAAAAAAAGGGGATGAAGAAAGGAATAACTCAGGGAGAAGGAAAAATAAACTGGTGAATGGGTCCTACCAGTTCCACTGAGCTGGGACCCCAATGGCATGCTGAATGGCTACGAAAAACCAATGGAACCCCAAGGCCCACATGTCTGGTTATAGACCAAACCTGGCTGTTGGCTCCTCCTTCACTTCCCAGGATCCTCCCTTTGGTGGTGATGGCATTGTGAGATTTGTAGTCCTTTGTGCCTTGGACTGCTTTGGTCTGGGGTAGAGATGGAGTCCATAAAACCCATGAGTGTGTAGTTGGCTCAGGACATCCTTTTCCCACAACAGGATGAATAGTTTACATACATTATTACACCACTAGTCATTGAGCTAAAGTGCTATTTATGATACACGAACCATGAAGATAAAGCACTAGTCAGTCACACACTGTCTTATTTCAGCAGCCACTTTTCTGGGAAATGTATAAAATTATTTTCCATACTTGACAGATGGAAAATTTGAGGCTGTTTAAAGATTCACATTCAGGCAGGAAGTTTCTGCTTAGAAGACAGACAGACAGACAGTGTCATTCTAGAATGGATGTTTATACTGTGTCCAGCGAATGATGCCATCCTTTCTTCTCATGCTTATAATTAACTCACCTCTTGGTGTATTGTATCCTGAGTTGGTAATTCACAGGTCTGACTTTGACTATTGAGAGGAGAGCTTCTCTTGGCTGCAAAAAAGGGAAGAAATTCCATCACAAATTTTATAAGGCTACAAATTAACTATTTCATAAGTTCACTTCATTTTCAAGTCAAACCCCATTTTAATAGGTCATGATGGTCTGAAAAGAAGACATTTAATGATGTACACTGGAAGAGAAATCAAATTTCTATTTGATTTCTAGGTTATCGATGTTGATCTCTAGCTGTTCAGTCTGACTCAATAGATTAAGCTGCTGAAATACAAACAGTAATAATAGTTGACATTAACATCGTATCTAAAATTACCATGTCTGTTCTAAGTTATTTACATATAGCAATACATTTAACCTTTATAGTAATCCCATAGTAGCATATGGTATATTATTGGACCCATTTTACAGATGAAAACACTAAGGCACGGGAGTTTAATTTGACCCTTCCATGAAGTTTGCAGCCCAGGTATCTTGCTCTCAGATCTGTGCCTTAATGATTGTATTAACCTGCTCAAAGAAGGCTGTGTCTATCACAGTGCACAGCAAAAGAAACCCTGAGCTATTTTTGTACTTTTGTGCATAAAAGCAAAAAAAAAAAAAAAAAACTCCTCTGACTTCTTTTGGTTGCTGAAGATGAATACTAATGTAGGTTTTTTTTTTTTTTGAAAGATAGGAGATATCAGAACTAACAACATCCCTCATTTTACAAATGAAGAAATTGAGTTACAGGAAGTTTAAGTGATTTACACACAGACACATACTGCAACAGCGCTGCCCCTTCTTAGAGCAGCTCTTCAGGGGAGAGAATCTTGTCGCTCAAGTGCCCTGTCCATGGAGAAATGTTCTTCCTCTTGGCCAAACTTTCTTTTTTATGATTTGTATTCAAAATATCTATCTATCTATCTTACATTGTTATTCATTTTTGTACAATGTTTTGTTTCTCCTCTTAGGTGTAATCCCCATAAATTCCCCACCCCATGTCACTTGAAAATGGAGCACCTTCACCAGTCTCTTGTTCTCTTCCTACCGCTGTGGTAGTCCCTCTCCCTCCTCCTCCCTGCTCAGTATCTCCCATTTATAGTTTGACAAAACTTTCCCCTTAAGGGCAAATCATCCCATCAACTTCCCCCCCTGCTGTGAGAGAACCTGCTCAGACCACACCCCAGTGTGAAGTCACCAACCTGTAATGATGTTCCTGATGGGCTTAACCAGTGCCGTGAAGCCGGAGACTTCGGGCTGTCTATGCTCCCACATGGGCTGCCATATGACAAGCCCACTGGCCAGTCGGAATGTGAGGTCAGATTCCTGGGGGAGAGATCTCTGTCTTATTGACTGTAAGTACTGGTTGAAGAGACTAGCCAATGTAAGGATTAAAACCATTCATGAGATTATTTTCCAAATGGGTTGATCTTCCAGACCTTTCATCATTAAAATGAGTGTTTCTAGGATAAACCAATCGTCCTAAGTAATTATCACAATTACTATGCAAATCATGATGGTCTGCTTTAGGCAAAATTAATAATTAATTAAAATGCAGCTTTGGGCAAAGCCTGACTGAAATGCACAAATGATTGTTTGTGTCAACAGTGATGTAGGACTGCTTATTTCCAAAGTCCTGGCAGATCACTTTACTTGTGGTTATCATTATTATTCCTCTTAATTATTTAATTGTCCTTCTTTCTCCCTCCTCAATCAGTATCCTCACAGGCTGGCTATTTTGACTTTCTGTAGTACATCTCTTGTTCTTATATTTCATGGAATCAGTAGCATATATTCTGACTTTTTTTAGAGCTTTATTTAATGTTGCCTTCTCAACAGTCTTTAGTTCCTTAAGGGCAAGGATAGTCAGTCATCTTCCAGCCCCAGATATCATTACAATGCTTGAAAAAGCACTTTGAATTTGGCACACAATAAGCGTTTATTTTATAATCCACATGCCATTCAACTTATCTATATTTGAAGGATTCTTCCAGGGAGAATATTCTCTGCCTCATCATTATATCATTTTGAGAAGCTAAGATGCTTAAAATGCAATCATATACTGTATAAGTGAGATTACATTTTAAATGACTCAGTTTCTCAAAACAGGTTAGAGATGAAAACAGAGAATGTGACTGTAGATTGATGAACTCAGCTGATGCTCAGGAATTCACTCAGGACAATGATTTACAGCCATGCCTTGCATATTATCATCACCTAGGAGTTTTTAAAATATAGAAAACCCAGGTTTCACTTCTCTTACACAAATGGATTCAATCATTTTGAGGTTTTTTTAAAGCCCTCCCACCCACCCCCATAACTCATGTATAGCCATGGTTGAAAACCAAAGACCTAGAAAGACAAGAGCTAGGAAGAAATTGGAAAAAAAGAAAGTGTTTGGGAAATGGTGAGTCGAGTTAGCTCAGTATCAAAGGGAACTTCAAATGGAGAGGCTAATGCAATCCCTGAATGCATTTGCACATTAGCACATAGAAGCCTCTCTGTAAGTTCTAGACTAAGATCCTAGCACCAATAGGGACCATGATCAGAAAGTCTCTAGGACTCTCTGTGAAAGCATTAGGAAAGCACATAAAGCATTTGGTCAAATTCATTCTCCAAACATTTATAGATCATCTGCTACGTGCTGGGTGCTATTCTAGGTTCCAGATAGAGTGAAGCATGCAAAGTACAAGCGAGGTCTCCCTGGTGGCATAAGGGGTTAAGTCTCAGCACTATGAACTCATCCACAGCCATGTAGCATGAGTTCAAGTTGGATCCTCAGCCAGAGAGCTGACCCATATGGCATAGCAGACTTCTCTTGTCTCACCTGCTACTCCCCTCAGCAGTATATTTTAGTCAACCCACCTGTTCTACTCTTCATTCTGTCTCTAATTAATCCCCTCTCTCACCCTCTACACCTCTGTCCTACACCCCAACTCTTTTATGCATAAATAAATAAAATAAATCTTGAAAAAAAAACAAATTAGAGCAAACACACAAGATTTTTGCTCTCTGAATGCAAATGAAAAATAAAACAGATAAAGGAATGTGTCAGGTAAGGCATGATATTTTAAACAAGGTGGCCAGAAAGCCTTAGTGTAAAGGTGACTTTGGCATAAGAATATTAATGAAGTAAAAATCTACCATGTAGATATTTCCAGTAAAAGCATTTCATGAAAAAGGATGAAGAGGAGCAGAAGTTTTAACTATTCTTGTGTGTCAAGAAACAACCAGGAGATTGTGTACCTCGAGTCACCTGAGTAGTGGGAAAATAAAAAATGTAAAATTGTGGAAGGCATTGAGTTTCAAGTAACATAGGGTCTGATAGGCCATCATAAGGACCTCAGCAGTTGTTGAGGAAGATGGGAAGCTACTGTAGGTTCTGAGAAGCAGAGTGACATCATTGACCTGAAATTTTGTAAGACTCTCTCAAGCTATTGAGACAGGACAAGGGTGGAAGAGACTATTTAGGAAGCTGTTACTGACACCTAAGTGAAACATGATTAGACTAGGTGCTAGTGGAGAGAAAAATGCTTAGTGGTAGGTTCTGGATACATTTTGAAGATAGAGTTTATAGAATTCACTAATTATAAGTGGAGTATGAGAAAAATAGGTTTCAAAGATGTGCTTGGTGGCTCAGGAGAGACTTGCCATGCCATGTGCGCCACCTCTGGGGCTGGGAATCGAACTCACATGGCTGCAGCTAGCTTATAGTGCTATGTCCTAATCGTTGAGCCACCAGGGTTCAACAATTCTTAAAATTTTATTATGTATACTAAATGTTTATCGACTTTAAAGAATAAATAAAATTCCCAAGACAGATCCCAAACAATAAAAAAAAAAAATGTCACCCAATGCCTTATATGCACACATGACCAGAAACCTGATATCTGGAGAAGACACTCTTTATCATTAAAATAGCTGTGGGGTCTAACAAGGCCCAGAGAAAAACAAAGTGGCAGCAACATTGGTAGAACCAACATCCCCTCATTTGAGATGCCCTTCCTGCTTGCGCAGGAAACCATTACCATGATAGCATGAACAATTCTAAATGTGTTTACCTGTAGCTCAGAAATTTCCTTAAACAACTATTATTTTAAATTCCATTTTAGAGTTGTTTATTCACACCCATGGATTTTATAAAAATTTCCTTGAATTCTTGGGTCATGTTTGCCCCTTCTGTTTCTCTAAACACGCTGAGCAGTGCCTAGCATATAGGTGGCATTCAATAAATACTTTTTGAAAGAATAAATGAGTATGATTGTCAAGAAAATACTCCCACCACATTTCAGTAGATCCTTAGTTGAAAAACATATTCATAGTTTTAACTGAAGAAATTAAATTTGGCCTAAAATTAATGCATTGGACAGATTTTTCAGAGTTCTGACTTTATATAAAATATTTGAGTTAATTAAAAATTAAATCTTTATAAAATATGCATTAAATAATACATTATCTTACAAAGGATGAGTTACCTATGTTAGACATATTTGCTAAGTGCTGCATTGATTCATTCAATACTATTAATTAAATACCTATAAAGTACAAAAGTACAAACAGTATTTTAGCTAGCCAGGATACAATGACAAAATTCCTACTTTCAAGCCATTCAGAATCTAATGGGAGAGATACATAAAGAAATAATGATAATAATAAGCTAGAAAAATAAATAGATTTAAAAAATTTTAAATCAACAAGGAAGATTAATCATAGCAGTAAATAACAATAAGGATATATCTGGAATAATAATGGAAATGGGCAAAGAATGAGGATGAATCCTGAATGGAGTGGTGAAGGATGCGTAGGAGTCTTCTAGGCAGCAGGGGAGGCTCTGAGGGCCTTGCAGGAGGCAAGACCAGTCTGAGAAAAGACCTGAACAAAACCATGTCCGGTTCTCAGGGAGACTCCAAGCAGAATGGCTACGACTGGATGGGGGTGTGGTTTTTCACATCCCCATCCAGTTCCAGGTTGTATTCCACACTGTTGGGGTTTTCAACCCCGGGGTGATGATTGATCTCTGGGCAGGCAGAGCATGTACCTCGGGTAAGAGATAGAAAAGTTCAATTTGGGTCTTAATCTGGGGTTAGAGATTTGAAAGCCAAGAAAGAATAGGAAAAAATAAAAATACATCAATGTTGCTCCTGAAGACAGCAGTGCACGTGAACAGCATACAGACAAGGAAGGGAGATAAGGCTGGATAGTGTCCAGATACTCAGCAGGCCCATGCAAGGTCAGGGCAGTGGTTCTCAGTCAGGAACCATCCTCCCCCCTCACCAGCTGCTGAAGACACAAGGCAGCACCTAGAATCATATGTAGTTGTCACAATAGGAGGGAAGAGATATTACTGGCATCTAGTGGGGAGAGGCCAGACATGTCCCTCACATCCTACAATGCATTGGATAATGCCATACAACAAAGAATGACCTGGTCCCAAAGACCAGCAATGCCCACCTGAAAGATCCAGACCTCGGGACTGTACTTTTCTTACACTGAAAAAAGCATCTTTCTCACTCAGAGACTTTGACTTATTCACATCTTCCTTGAAGCTATGATCGGGAGTGTTGGATAAAGGAACTGAAGTCCCAAATCATGTTTGACCTTATATCCATGATGGGCATTATGGACATTAAGGCAGATGGAGATCACTGAATTTTAAAGTAAGTATATGATAGGTTTTCCAAGTAATGTCTATTAGTTTAATATAAAAATAAAGGTATCTAGGTCTTAAGTGGCCATAGGATCATACAAAGACACGGGTAACCAGGTACGAGATATCATTTGAAGCCAACCCTCATCACATGGATACCTATCTTGGCTCTCGTAGCAGTGTTTCACTTACCTTGATCCTGTGCACCAGAGGAGCAAACAGAAACACAAAGAGCTCCACAGTAGCCATGGAGTTCTGGAAAATCTTCCTGCGGTTGTTCTCTTCTTCGTCATTGGAGCCACTCTGGCATGGCTGCCCTGGAGAACCCTGGTTTTCAACCTGGTGGATGAAAGCACTGCTGCTGCCACCCCAGCTGGACCCTCGGTCTGCGCCCCCAAACCGCTCGCTGTTGCAGTCCTGGGGGGCCTCCAGGAGCATCCAGTGCAGCGTGTGGAGGAGCTTTGTCTCAGCAACACCCAGCTTATCCTGGTGGCCTGCGGGAACAATCAGATAGCTAGGTTGAAGCAAACTCTGTGATTAGAACAATGAATGTCTCTGGTGGGTCCTCTCACCCCCTGCACCTCTGGCCTACACCTCAGTTCTTCTATGCATAAATAAATAAGTCTTTAAAAATAAATGAAATCGGGCCATCCCTGGTGGCGCAGCACTGAGTAGGTAAAGCCACTTCTGCAAGAGTTCGATACCCGCCTACCCCGAAGGTGACCACATGGCTCAGCAGACCTTTCCTGACCGGCCTGCTGCTCCCCTCAGCAGTGTACTTCGTCAATCTGCCTGTTCTGCTCCCCACTCTGTCTCTGGTGAATCCTCTCATCACCCCTGCACCTCTGGTCTGTACCCCAGTTCTGTATGCACAAATAAATAAATCTTTAAAAAAAAATGAAATAGACCTACAGCAAGATCTAACGCAATAAAAATAATAGCAAAACAAACAAAAAGAACAATGGACATCAACCTTGTGTCTATCACGAACCCCTGGCTTTGCTCTATGATTCCATTTCCTGAGAGATACTCGCATTTCTCTATACCTCTTACAACTCTCCCTTTATTGTTATAAAGGATCGTCTTTGTTCGGGGGCGAGTTTCTGCAGAAGGCCTCACTGTCACAGTGGGGGAAACGGCATGTATCACATCTCTTTGTCAGAGAGCAACATGTTTCCAAGCAGCTGAAATTATGGACTGTGAAGACAACCGCCACTCTCTTTCAGACAGTGAGCAGCAAAAGCTATAGTGAAGGCCTGAATAGGGGAACTACCTAGGTGTGGCTGAACATGCACAACATGGGGGAGAGCTAGTCCAGTTCAGCTTTTGAGGACAATAATCTGTAAATTAATTGAAACATTAAAAATTAGCATGCACAGGTGTGCACATACACATAGTCAAAGTACCAGTTTTAGGAGCAGTCAACAGGCTACTCTGACTAGAATTTCTCAGAGTTGGGTGAGTGATTGCATTTAACTTCACTTCACAAAGAGAATGCATTCACATATTACTTGGAAAGTTAAAACGATTGAAGTAAGAGCTAATTCTTTCAATGGTACCTGGGGAGAAGAGTGGAGCCAGTGGGAAGGGGGTTTCGTGAGAGTTCAGTGAGATAATGTGTGCATAGGTCCTGGGAACATAGTAATTACCCAATACATGTTGTTATAAAGAAAACAGAGTGGTCAGTCATGAAAAAGTGATGGTGCAAGAGCACCAACCTAGCTTGTTCCTGTTTGAAAGCAGAGTTGCAGTGCAGTGGAGGACATGAGGCAAAGCAGCTTGCACCAGTTCCCATCTGGAAATGCTCTGGATGGCTTCAGAGAGGGCTGGAGAGAGGCCATGCAGTTTGTTTTCTACCAACACTCTTTCAAAAGACTGTAGACACACACACACACAAAAAAAAAAAAACATGCAAATTAAGAGATTCTAAGAGGTGTAGAAATGTACATCAAGTATAAAAGGATAAAAATATTGACAGTGATAATTTTTAATATCTGTCTATTTTCAGATTTTTGAGCAAAAGTATATAGCTTGAATTATTAAATGATTTCAACCAAAATAAGCTTCCTTGTAAAAAAAAAAAGTATATTTAATCTATGAAACTTTTGGATGGAATAATTTTATAAAATTCTAATGAGACACCCAATCACAATTGCAGAACAAAGTGAATTATCTTTTGTGTACGTACCACGAGGGATAGAATACCTGTCAATATTCAACAAGTGTTAAAAAAAAGAAAAATACTTTGGCATCCCCAAATTATTCGTTCGTGTCTACAGCAGCGATCTCTTAGAGGGCTAAGGTTAGGGTTAGGGCAGTGATCTCATATAGGATATTCCTTATCCAATGCTTATAATCGTAAAGATACTTAATATGTCTACTTCATAAAAAAAAAAGTAAAAGAAGGGAGAAAAGAAGATAAGTAAATAAACCATTTTTGTTTTGCTAATTTATTAAATCTTGACCAAAGATACTTTCAGATAATAAAGCACCCCAGCACAAATTTAACCCACTTAGTTGTGTCTTTCTCTCAATCTCTTTGGTGAAAGTATAGCTACCAAATATTTAGAATACATTTAATAAACATTTGACTTGGATAGACAAAATCTGATTGCAACTACCTTATCTATCTGTCTACCTACCTACCTATCTATTTTATATTTTTCTATCTATGAATGTGGCTTAATATTTTAATATTATATGACCATATTAAAGATGTCAGCTATCTCTTTGCTGAGAACAGAGAAAAGTCATAATTTTAAGCTAGCATAACTATGAGCACTGTTACAGAAGGGTCGTAGAATTCAAGTGTTAAATTACTCTAATGAGAAAAGCACAATAAATTCTATCAAAAGTCTTCTTTAAAGATATATTTTTAAAATACCTCTCAGAAACTTTGAGGAATAGAAGGTATATCAAAACAAATTCCCACTTGGATTGAGAGAAAGAGTATGTGCTTGTTCAACTCTGGTTGGATTTCATCATAGTCTATGTAATCAACATAGTAACACCTTTCAAGTCTCTTTAGTTGTAGGTCATCTAAATATTCACTTGCAGATATTCATGGCAGTAGCAAAATGAGTAGGCTTCCACTTTTACATTTTAACATATGCAATGTGAAGACCTTTATGTAAGTTCCAGAGTCTGGAGTCTGAAAAGTCAATTTCAATTTTGCTTCATAATTTCATGCAGTTTATTCTCAACTTGTAAATTAGAATGTGTATGGATACGGGCTTCCATTAGAATTTTAAGACAAATGGGCTCTATTTATATAAATATGAATAGCATTATTTTACATCAGCCATTTTCAGACTTACAAAAAATGCAAGATAGAAACTTCAGAAGTGTATGTTACGTTGAGGATTTATATGAACGTCTACTATATGACAGTCTTGATTTTGTTGTTAAATATTTGACTTATTATACTTGCCTTGTAAGGCCTTCTACCAGGTAGCAGTTTCACTGTCATCTCAATATCCTTTCTTTTACTGCTAAAATATCCCTCCCAACCTCAGGTATATCTGTGTGTGTGTGTATGTTAATTACTGACTTGTTCCAGCATCCAGAATTGTTTGTGGCACACAAGTAGTTGCTGAATAGTGTTTCCCAACTGATTTAATACATACAGTCAGTATAATTTTATGTCTTTCCACTACTACACAAGGAAATAATCATTAAATGGTAAATATCACATACCACACAAGAGGCTTCATATTGTTTTCCCAGTTTAGGCCTCAAAAATGCACTAAAAAATTAAAAGAGATATTTGTTATAAACAAAAGTGAAATTATTATTAGACCATTCTAATGACATTTTTCAATTAATAAGACATGGTGCTATAAAATTCAAATTTCATGCCTACTATAGCTTGTTAATTAGCAGGTGTTGAACAGCTGATGCCATTTGCTTTTACATGTGTAATTACATATAAAAAATGTTTTCTGCATCCACTCTTATTCTGAAGACTTTTATTTAATCAGATTTTAAATCGCCAGTGGCCAGCAGTGGTGCAATACTTATGTGTTCAGTCATATTAAAAACTGAAAAATGAACATAGCTTATGGATCCTGATTTCCAGAATTGATTAGCTGATTAAACACAAAAATAACATCAATGATGATGTTGATGATGACAATAAATTAAACCTTGTTTTCTGTTTATTGGAATAGGTTTCAGGCCCTTTCCGAGGAAAAAAAATATCCTTAATAAAATAATTCTCAGTGGCTTTAATCAGGAAAATTTTACTGGCTGAATCTGAGCAAAAATGGTTAACAAGTGGGCATAGCAGATATTTGCCAAACCGAAGCTGGAAAAACAACAGGTCACTAGGCTGAAATTACAGCAGGAGATGGAGGGAGAATTGGACGCTGGAGCACAACCAGTCATAATTTTCTTCCCTAGTTCCCCGCCCCCTCTCCTAGGCTCTCTGCCCTCCCAACCCCTAAATAATGCATATATCTTTTCGACAACTGCCAATCTGCTTGTTGTCAAACTTCACTCAAATATTTTTAAATGCGTGTTTTTAAGCAGGTGCAGAGGGTTTTCTTTCCAGCCCCAGAGAGGGAGCAGGCTGTGGCGCGGCCTCAGCAGCAGGGGTAGTGGCGGCGGTGGTGACCCCCGGCGGCCCCAGGAGCGCCCCCAGCCCAGGGCAGCCCCTGGATGTCCTCTGCGCCCCTCACCTGGTTTGCCGCCAAAGGAAGGTCTGGATGGGCAGGGGGATGCCGCGGCCGCTGTCCTGCTCCTGGCCCTCGGAGCTCTTCCTCTTCACCATGATGGTGGCTCCTGGGAGTCCTACTGCAGGACCCAGCGCCGGCTCCTTGCTAGCCGCCTCCTCCTCCTCCTCTTCCTCCTCCCGCTGCTCTCCCCAACTCTCATCCCCTCCTTCCCCAAGGCAAAGCCGGCTCTCTCCGCCTTGATCCCCCTTCCCACTTCCCTTCCCCCTCCCCTCCTGGCTGGTGGAACATGGCTGCGGGAGGAGGGGAGGGCTGGAGGAGCGGCGGAGCGAGGAGGGGGGCGCTCGGAGGAGCTGTCCGCCTCGCCGCCCCCGCGCCCTCTCTTTGCTTTCAGCACCTCCCACTGTGGACAGCGGCCCGCGCGGGCCGGCCTGGCGGGAGACAAGAGCTGGGGCCAGGCTGAGCAGCAGCTGGGGAGCCAAAAGGGGTCCACTCTTCACATCGCAAGTAGGCTCCTTTCGTGGCCTCTTCAGACCCAGGATTCAGCTTCCTCCTCTATGACCTGCACCCCAGGAGTGTCCCGCGTCCTGCTTCTCAACCTCCAGCTGTCACGGTCTGGGGAGGAGGAGCTTTGGGTAACCGCAGAGCAGTCACTAACCTGGCATCATTCGCACCTCTAGCAAGGAGGTCAGGAGTCCACCCTCGGGGTTTAGCAGAAGGAACACATGAAAATTATTAGAAGTGTAAACCAGGGAAGGAGCAAGCTCAGGAAGACTGAGGAAGCTCGAAAGTTCCTGATGTGAGAATTTATTTTAAAATGTTCATCACAAGAAATTAACCTTGGGTTTGTTGCTTTTTTATTTTCTTTTTTGTCAAAGCTGAAATGTCCCCAAGCTAGACAGTTTGTATCTATTCATTACAACTTGAAGGAGGACATTTGAACTATGCTGTGAAGAGACGTGGCTTATTAGAGTTCATTATACTGTTGGGTGATTTTGGTCTTTCCATTGATCTTTGCCATTTTCCTTCAGTTGTCATAAAAAATGCCTGTACAGTTTTATCTCATTGTGAACGAAGGATAGGATAAAGCAAAACAGTCTGTGTAGCTACTACTATGGATCAAAATGCTTGCAAACAGAACAAATATAGCCACATACCTTTTTGAACAAAGATATTGGTGTAAACCATGAAACAGAAAGTCAGAACCTAGGATTTGACCTCAACAAATAGAAATATTTCCTGTGTAATTAACTACATGGCTGTTTTCTCCATAAAAAGAGGACTGTGTGATATATATTGGTGTTTTTAGCCACAGAAATAAGTTCTTCATTAATTTCTTGAAGCCATCTTTCATATAAATCTTTACATTCAACTTTTAATCTGAAGTCATCTGTAATCTGAAACAAGGAAAGCTAGATCCTAAGTAGTTTACTCAATGCATATTTATTGACTCTATCTGATACACAATGTCATATAGAGTCTTACTCACAAGAAACACAGCAGTAGAGAGAAAACCAATGCACTGAAGAGTAGCATGAGAAACATGACACAGACTTACTTATGAACGAATAGGCAAAGTAGAAAAATCAGTCAAGAATCAGATGGAAAAGGCTTTTTATAGCAGTCTGACACTTGGATAAAAAGGCTCTACTCAGGGAAGTAAAAAATTCATTTTTACTTAAATGAATTGTGGATGGGAACACAAGTCTTAAAACTAGAGAAATATTCCATGAAATCCTGAACCAATGCCATGACAGCGTGATCTCTTACCCAAGAGATAAGGAGATAAGATTAAATGATATTGCAGAGGCAGAATTATTCAGGCTCATTAAGGCTGGTTAAGAGTACATGGTTAGAAGCTTAGTTTTGTCTCTATCCCTACTTTGTACAAATATAATAGAATGAGAGCGTCCTTCACCAGTGTTTCCAAATAATAGTACCTTCTAGATAGAATGCTGTGAGAATTAAGTATTAATACTTGTAAAGAATTTAAGAAGGTCTCTGATCTATACCAGCCTTCAGCTATGATCAACCAAATTTCGAAGTCTTTGGTTTTGAGGAGCTGAATAAATGATCTCATTTAAAGAGAGAAAAAGTTGATAGGGAGAATGATGTTCTTAATTTATGTGCATATGTGAGAGCATTAGTGAATTTTACTTGAATTTCATTGGAAATTCCAATGTATAAGCTGAAGAATAAACTAGAAATATGAGTATGGAATTCAGAAGAGTTAACTATGTAAAATAGATGGATTTTGTGGTTCATATTGTATAAAAAATATTTGAAATAAAATAATGTAACTAAAATAATCCAGGTGAATACATGAAAAGAAGAAAAAAATCCAATTTGGAAGTATATCAACATTTGTCTGTTTCCATAGAGAATGCTATTGAGAAGTGACAGCATAAGAAAGGATAGTTGGATAAGTAGAAGTCTAAGATGGTCTCCAAGATTCATGTCTCCTGGCATAGCTACACACTTTTCACAATTGTTCAAACAAAAACTAAATCTAGATGCCATTGTGAAATGATTTATTTAAGACTTAATGTTTAAAATATTATTAATACACTTTATTTCTTAAGGCAATTTTAGGTGTACAGAAGAATAAAATAGAAAGTGTAGAGAGTTCTCATACATTCTCTCTTCCAACTCCTAGTTTCCCCAATTATTTACAACTTGTTTTGTTGTGGTAGATTTTTTGTTACTGATGAACCAATATTACTATGTTATTATTAATCTGTACTTCACATTAAGGTTCACTTTTTATTGTCCAATTGCATAGAATATGATTAATAATGTCATGTTTTTACCATTATGATACCATCCAGAACATTTCATTCTTTAAAAATCCTCTGAGCTCCACCTATTCATCTCTGGCAACCAGTAATCTTTTCACTATATCTGCCATTTAGCTCTTTAAAGAATGCCAAATAGTTGGAATTGCATAGTATAATATCTTTTCAGACTGACTTTCACTTAGCAATATGCATTTAAGTTTCCTCCATCTCATTTTGTAATTTAATAACACATTTCCTTTCTTACTGAGTATCATTCCATTATGTGGCTATATCACAGTTTGTTTATTCATTAATATGTGGAGGAGTCTATGGTGCTTTCAATTTGGAGCAATTATGAATAAAGATGCCACAACCACTTTGTGTGCAGGTTTTATGTGGATGAAAGTTTTCAACTAACTTGATTAATTACTTAAGAAAACAATTGCTAGACTGTATGTTAATATTCTGATTAGTTTTGAAACTGCAAAAATATCTGCTAAAGAAGTTTTACTTTTTTTTTTTTTAAATAAGAGACTTGGACATATTTATGGCCTAAAATATAGTTATAGAAGAGGAATTGCTGAGGATATTTGAGGGGATAATTAATTAACAATGCTCTTGAAACTATATTGGCACAAGCTGGTTTAATTATTCTTTGGTAAGTGTATTATTTCTAGGATTGGAGGTAAAAAGGAAGCAGAGGTTAAGTTAGTATGAAAACAGGGAAGGTTAAAAGTAATCAGTAAAAGCATTTTTTAGAGTTATATTTGATGAGGGAAAGACTGCACTTGTCAGAATATTATTGGTAGCAGATAAGAATATTGAATACTTGTTTTATGTCAGGGTCTTTTGGATCAATCAATAGATCCAAACAACACTACCATCAACATTTCAAGAAAAAAAAAGTACAGAAAGATTATATATCCTGCCTGAAGTTACATAGTAATTGATGAAAGAAACTGAAGTTTGCTGTTAAAGCTATGGTCTAACTTTCTATGTCATACTGAGTATTGTGCAGTTGTGAGAGTTTGGAAGAAGTTTTATGAGTCATGTAAATAGGAACTGCTCAAGGACATACGGAAGAAGTGTTCTATTGATGGTAAAATATTAAGAGATTTAATGGTCCTTTCCATTCCCAGATGCCCTCAAGGTAATGAGTCATCTGGGGGTGGAAGATCTATAATAAGCACTGTCAAGATCAGTTTCCAAATAACATTTGAGTGGTGAATCAAAATTAACAATGATGGTTTACTTCTCATACATTGATTAAAAACATATATATATATATATGTATGTATGTATGTATGTATGTGTGTGTGTTTGTGTGTGTGTGTGTATTCCTGAATGCTCTCATGTATACTGCCTTCTTTCATACATTTTTTTCAATTTAGTTGAACATTGCTGGTGGAAGCTGAGAACTGAGTCAATTAGATGAAGTACACAATCAGTTAAGGAACAAATTCCTTATAATTTCTGCATGATACTATCATCTCACCATGTAAGACATTGGACTGCCTGTGAAGTTTTCCCAAAGAGGTGCCCAAGGAAAAGAGTGGCCTTGGGCTAAATAGAGAAAACTGGCAACTGGGCACTAAGAAGCCTGTAAAGTTAAGACAATCCCAAGATTTGCAGCTTAATGTATGTCATCTTGAAGGTTATTTTGTTATTTGAAAGGGAGGGTGAATTTTGACAGTGGCCACATGCTGAGCTTCCAGATGAGTATATAAATAAACATCCTTGGCAGATAGTCTGAGTAGAGGAAAATCATGGCTGGAATTTTGGAAAAAAATATTACTTCAGTAGGCAGCATTTGGATGCTGTTAAGTAAGTGCATGGAAGTAAGTAACAGCATAAACACTCAGTAATTAATAAACAGTTTTTGGCAGGAGTCTCTATGGCAACCCATTAAACATTTGAAGGTAAAGTGTGATCACTGCTGTCATGTGTCTAGCAGTTAGAAGTGCTCAGTGACTACATTGGTGTGATGCCTTTCGTATGTGAGGGGAGAAGCTACATTTACTTTTATGTCACTCCCATGATGCTGGAGTTAATATACCCTGTGCATCTTTGGCATCTCAGTCCAAATAGCAGATCTCTGAAAGGCATGCCAGGGTCTTTCAGTGAACAGAACAAAACTCCAAAGCCCATAGTCCACACTCATCAATATGGTTTGCAAGTTTCTCCATGGCCTGATCTATTTCATATAACTCTTTTCACTCTTCTTTGCTCTAGAAACACTGGCCCTTCAAAGACTTTGTGTTGCTGCTCTTTCCTTCTTTATATCTTCACAGTGCTCACACCTTTTTACCCTTCAGGTCTCAGTTCAAATATAACCTCTTCTTCCAGAACTGTTTCTTAACCTGCCAGAAATAGTCTTCTCTATCCTGTTCCAGAAACATTCCAT